GACGCTCTTCCGCGGCGGCCAGGCGTCCTCGGAGGCCTCGATGCGGAGGAGGACTTCCCGGAGAAGCTCCTGCGGCATGTTGGCCCAACAACTCTGTCGCATGCTGTCGCCGACACACTCTCCTTGGTCCTGCACCGCACGATGCGACCTCGATCTCATGCTTCTGATTATACCCATCTGGATCAAGGCTTCCGATTGCACCAAAGCTTTCGCCTTTCAAGAGAGGAGTGCGCGTGAGTGAGAGAAAGAGGGAGAAAACGAGGTGGGTTATTTAAGCGTGCTGCGTTGATTGAGGTGGGAAAAAAGAGTTTTTTTTTTTTTTTTGGTTCGGGGGATTAAAAAATGGATTCTTTTTTGGTGGGTTTGGGGAGATAATAGAAAGGGTGGGAGAGATGCAGAGAAAGGAAGAGAGAGATGGGATTCCGATAAGAGAGAGGTTCAGTGGTTTTGTACTTTTGTGTGTGAAGGGTGTGATTTTTTGGAGAGGTGGGAAGATAAAGGGTAAATTGCAATTTGGTAATGATTGATGGTAGAGTTACTGAGGGGGAGAGAGCAATAATATAGAGAGAATTACTTGTCACATGGTAGGTAATTTGTTTGGTGGTGGTGTATACTGTATAGTGTTTGCGTTTTGGGGGTATTTTTGTAAATTGACTTGGTTAGTTTAATGGAGAAAAGGAAACAATGATGATGATCATCGGGTTGAAAATTTTTGGTATAGATCTGGTTAAAAAGGTTAATTAATCTTCAGATTCAATGTATGTCTCAGTCCAATTAAGTTGATGAAGATGGAGAGCTTATTTCACATATTCTTTTATGTTATTAACTAGTTAAAAAATTAAAATAATTATTATAAGCATCAAATTTATAATCAGATGATAACATAAATTTTTTGTTTTATTAATAGATGTATTAACATGTGATAAGAGAGAAAATAAAAATTGAACTGTTCACAATAAATTAATCATACCCCAAATTGTTACATGGGTTCTACTAATATTTCTTCTTACCATAACAGTCTTCTTGTGAAATTTGTACCAAAATTTTTTACATTCATAATAAAGTAATAAATCTATGGCTTATATTAAAAAAATGTGAAAAGGTACTTTTATTTAATGATTCATCTTATCAAAATGTTTTATGTTAGAATTTTTCCTATCATTATTGAGACAAGTTTTAAGGTGTTCAATTTTTCATGTGATTTATAATAGACCATGAAAGAATTAAGAAAAATGTTACGATAACATAAAAAGAGCCGTGAAAAAAAAAACTGATACATAAAAAGAGAAATTATAACATTAAACTTAAATGATTAAAAAAAAAACTTAAAAGATGAATTTTTTTATTTATAAATGTAAGTTAGGAAACTCGTATTTAAAAACAGATGCAAAAAAAATGTAAATATTTAACATTTGTAATCCATTCAATTGGTTGGGTTCCCATGGATCTTAAAGAAATGAACTTTGTCATTTAAATTCAAATATTAGGCGAAACGAGTTTTATTGAAGTGTATAATGCTAACAAATTTTTTTTTTTATTTTACAAGGGCCGACCGTTGTATTTAGACATATGTATATACTTGTTTCTAAGATATTTATAATAATATATATATAAAATATACTTTTACCTGTAATCGTTTTTTTTTATTGAGATAGTTTTATCTTTAAATATATTTGTTTGTTTGTATTTTACGAGCTTTTTTTCTCTTATTTTTGATCGACTATTTTTACATTCATTCACTAGTTACTATTCACATAATTTTTTTATTTAAATAAAATACAGAGACATAAATTGTCTCTTTTTCATTAGTTCATAATAATTAGAATAATATTTTTTCTTTTACAAATCAATTTTTTAAATAAATAATGATAATTATACCCTTAATGAAAAAGTTATTTTTTGTTAAGCATGGTGTTGACCGAAACAATGAAATCTTAGTTAATAAAGATAAACTTGAGTTGTCACTCTCAATCTAATAAGTTTCATTAGATCAATTTATATAATTCAATTTATTTGGGTTTAAATGTTTTTGGTTTATTAGATTGTTCAAAATGTGCTTTCTTGATTAATCCGTTGGAATAAGGACTTATTTGGTGAAAATGAGTTGTATTTTTTTTATTAATAAATAAAGTTTATATATACAAAATTCAATTTACTTTTAGGAAAAAAATTAATTTTTAAAATTTAAAATAAATTTAAATAATCAAACTTGATTGACTTGAATCTCGAATCATTATAGTATTAAAATAATGTTTGATTGATGAAAGTTTGTCTTTAATTGTCAACTTTGAAATATTATATAGACCATGGTCATTAAAAAAACATCAATTGAACTATCTTCATTTAACTCATTCATAATTAGATCCGTTCAATTTGAATCCAATAACAAAAATGACAAACCTAATACAACTCAACCCATGTTAACTAGTATAGTCAAATCTAACCATAAACAACACAACTCATGCGGAAAAAAATGATTTTTTATTCATTGAAAATAAAATAAAAGTTAAAATATGCTATATTATTCATATAATATATTTTTTATTTTTCTATTATATCAATTATTTGAACGCACATTTTCCTTCCTTTTAATTTTTTTTCTTAATTACATATACAAACGCAGATTTTAAAAAATAATAATAATAAAAATAAAATAAAAATATTAATAAAAATAATAATAATAAAAATAAAAATAAAAACGCTGACGGAAGGGGTTTTCATAGAGTACCAACATGGTATTGTATAATTGACTGATAAAGAATTTATTACTTAATTATTATTTTTTTCAAAAACTAGGTTTTTTTAATCAATGAAATCTATATAATTAGTAAAGGTGATTTTTTTTTATAATTATCTTTCGATTCTATTTTATATTAACATATTTATTCTTATATGTGTTTTGTAACTTTTGATTGATTGATTTATTTATTTTGAAACTGTTCATAAATTACTGTTGTATTTTTTTCTTTTCTTCTTTTTCTAATGCAAACACACAATTTTTGTGTTCATTTTTTCATTTTTTTTTACCTCTACAATTACCCAAAATCGCTCAATCATTTTAATTGTTAATCACTTATTCATATTTAAATTCAATTAGTTTTATTTTTAATAAAATATACATAGACAAGAGATGTCTCTTCTAGGCTAGTTATAATAAAATGACTAAATATTAGTGGTCTTTCATCGCAGATCTTAACATTTCAAGTATGGTAAAAAAGTATTAAATTAATATTTATTTATTAATAAAAATTACAATAACAATAATATAGTTTGAATCTATGATTTTTTGTGAAAACTACTCCAACCTTATTAGAAAACCATTTCTAGTGGTTTAGGTAATAAATTAGTATATGGTATGTATGATGATAAATTATATTTTACTGATTATCACTCTACAATAACTGTAAATAGAATAAGAATAAATATTTTTTGCTAAAAAGAATAAGATTCAATACTTGTGAGACCCTCTTTATTCTTTTCTTTTTTTGGCTCTCACTCTCAACACTCTATACTCTCACTTTACTGATTTTCTCTCCTTCAACCTTGTGTTTTCTTTGCTTGGACTTAAGGTGCTGACCTTATTGGTGCAGGGAACTCTAGTTGAGTAGTTGGAGTCTTCTTTTCCCCTCCTCCTCGTTGTTCAAACTCTTCGTCTAGTCTCTTCTCCGTAATTCTTGTCCGGAAGCTAGGATTTCATGATTTGAGGTAAGGGAAGTTAGTTTTTGCTGCGTTTTGGCTGAAAACGAGTTCTAGGAACTCCTTGATTGTTTGATGTTCGGTGATTTTGCTGAAATTGGAAATTTGGGGCTCTCAGGTTTTCCGGGGTTGGATGAAAATTTTGGAGTTTTGCTTGTTTGATGGTTGCATGCTGAAAATAAGGTATTATTCGTGATGTTTGATGTAAATGTGAACTATTGGATGGCTTGCATGTGGATTTCCTGACTGTTTGTGCAGATTTTGAAAAGATTTTCGAACTTGGGAGAGTTGCTGCTAAGCTTCGCGCTGGGCGCAGTTCTTCGCGCTAGGCGCGAGACCATCAGGGGCTCCTTTTAGGCAAGCCCGTCGGGCGCAAAGGTGTGTGCGCCGAGCGAGCTTGAGGATGAGAGCCTCTGGATGGCCCACGCCGGGCGTGACCTGGACCGCGCCGGGCGCGATATCAGTTGTGCCATGCTTTTGGGTTTTCTGGTGCTGCGCTGGGCGCGACCACTGTCGCGCTGAGCGCGGAGGCTCCTTGGGAGTCTCTGCCAAGGGTGCGCTGGGCGCAATTCGAATTGCGCCGGGCGCGAGGCCTTGGTAGGTCTCTGCCTTCCCCACGCTGGGCGCGGGTTAGGCCACGCCGAGCGCGTGAGACTCCTTAGAGTCTCTGCCTGGGCTTGCGCAGGGCGCAATTGATCTAGAAGTTCTTCTAAGGCAGAATATCGGGCCATGGCTAGTGTCGTTTGTGAACTACAATGGCTCACTTACCTCTTACAAGATTTTCGTGTTTCATTCATTCAACCATCCACTTTATACTGCGATAACAGATCTGCTCTTCATATAGCTGCAAATTCAGTGTTCCATGAGCGCACCAAGCACATTGAGATTGATTGTCACATTGTTAGGGAGAAAGCTTTGCAGGGACTTATCAAACTTCTCCCAATTTCTTCAGCAAATCAACTTGCTGACATATATACCAAACCTCTTTCTCCTGGAGCTTTTCAATTCTTGTATTCCAAGCTGGGAATGTCCAACATCTACTCCCAGCTTGAGGGGGGATCTTAGATATAGTTTGCTTTAACTATAGATATAGTTTGTTAACAATATATATTTTCAGTTTTAATTTGACTCTCAATATAAAGAGGCAAATAACTTTGTAATTCAATTAATTCAAATTCATTTGATAAAAGAGTTTTTCTTCTAACTCTATCTTTTCTCATTCTTTTTATGGAAGGTCTGCTCATGAAGTCTCATAGGTTTTAT